GAAATCCAAAGTGCCTGAGGGGAGGTTGGGAGGGCATACCTCATGAGTCAGGATAAGTATAAAATATCAATTTTATTCAGAAAATTACATATTTTTCCTTATCCTGACTCATGTATTTTTGCTTGTAGAATCCTACGGATTTGGTGGTGGGTCAAGCCACTTCTGGATTCCAATTTGGTGATTTACGTCTTACGAACCCCCCTATGGGAACTTCCTGGTAGCACTTTAAATTTACTGCTAAGCTCTGCTGCTGTAACCCTTACTTCCAGCTTTCTCTGATGGGGGGACCACAAACATTATTTGTGAGATTTAACAACTCCATCTCTTGATGCATGCATCAAGTGGAGAAGTGACCCTTGTTATGTACGAGTATGTCCTTACAAGTACTGGGTCTTATCACTCATGCTAGTCCATCTTAGACGTGCATATGGACTCTAAAGCTGTATAACTCTCCTGAGTGTTGGCTTTTGCAAGTCATGTGATAAAAGGGCGAGACTCTGTCTCAGCGCCTCTGTGGAACTGTCAGTTGTTGTGCTACAACAAGGGGGCCGAAATGGTGAATACCGGAGACGTCTTCAGTTGGGATGTCTCTCAGGTAGTGGTTGGCAAACACCATGTCCAATTTCCAAAAGCAGCCCTCCATTATCGTAGTAGGGATAGAGCAGTTTCCATGTAGAGCGAGTGTTGACGCCAGAGCTCTAATTTCATGTGGATTGGAGGCTCGTGGAGGATCCAGTCCTGCTGCTTTGTAGGCCCGTAAAATGACAGTTCTCATCCATATTGATATCGTAGTGCAAGAGATCTTTGTCTGTGTCTCTGCCAATATAGGGATGAAAAGACGCTTGAATTTTCGTCTCCTGGTCTTAGACATTTGTAGGTAGACTTTTAATGCTCTTACTGGGCACAAGGATAAATCTTGTGTATCCTGAGGCCCAAGGACTGATGATAATGCTGAGATGTTGACCTGGTAGTTGATTCTTTGCTATAAAGTCCCATCTTAGTCCCATATGTACGATGTTTTGATTTTCATCAAATCGTGTCCTTTCAAAGTCTAGAGCATGTATTTCCAACATTCTTGCTGCTGTTGCTAAGGCAATCAGAAATAGCGTTTTCTGCGTCAAGAACTCAAAAGATGTCCTATCTAATGGTTCATAAGCGTCACTGGTGAGATGCTGTAGAACTATATTGAGGTCCCAAGCCGGAGATTTAAATCTCTGTTGTTGGTCCTCCAATTTAAAAGAGCATAGTAAGGCCAGTAACTCTGGTACCTTAGTCAGTTTTACACTCATCCTCATAGTGATAACTGAGCTTAATGCCGCTAGGTATGTTGAGAGTGTTGACCCTTTTAACTGCTTCGTATGTCTTAGGTGACAAAGGTAGTCCACCACTTGAGAGTGTGTCGCTTTCATGGCTGTGAAACCTTTTTTCAAGTCGTAGGTCTCAAAGCTTCGGCACTTGTCGTCGTACAAGTTCCGGGTTGATTTGCGTAACGCTAGCGTGACCGCTTTAACTGCCCTGGCGGAATATCCTCTCTTATTCAAGTACGCCTTGATACGGTCCATGCGTGTAGCAGAACACTTTGGGGTTTCCGTGTCGCTTGCTTGGTGTGTGGATGTACTAGCAAGTTCGTCCACTCTGGTAGTTGCAGTTGAGGAGGTCCTAGTTCTTGTATGAGAATGGAACCCATATTCTCGCTGGCCAGTAAGGCACGATCAAAATCAGTTGCAGGTTCTTCGTCTGCATGATTTTCTGCAACACTTGCGTTATTAGAGCTGGTGGCGGGAACGCGTAAGCGTTTAGTCCTTCCCAAGAGATGCTTAGATGCTTAGTCCTTGTCTTCTGGCGAGCTTCAAGGCTGCTGATATGGATGCCAAATGCTCTGATATAAATTGGTGGTCCTTTTTCAGCGTTAGTGAGGCAGAATAAATCATCCGGTCTTCCTCCGCAGTTGAGTTCCTGAACTTGGAGTTGATCGTCTCATTAATTGCCCTCGATCTGTTAAGTCCAAAGAAAATCCGTCTGGTCAAAGTGTCTATCTGTGCCAGCTTTTTGTCATCAATCTGGTGATTTGGTCCGGGAGTCGTTGATGATTTTATAGTTCTCATCTATTTCTGGTGCCTTCATGAAGGGGTCAATATTATGTAGTGAGAACTTCTTTGCGTTGAACTGTGGGATATTTGGAGACTGGAACTTTGTTGCCTTCCTGAAGGCTGCGTCAAGGTCCTCAGGTACGTCCGAGACCGGGTCAATTGGAGGTAGGGTGATTGTGTCTACATCATCGTCCTTTCTTAGGTACGTGAATCCTTCATTCTCTTCTCTAGAGGGTGACGCTAGGTCCAGTCCATTAGCCATCCTTTATTTTATTTCTGAGTCCGAAAATATGATTCCGCCATCGTCCTCTGTATCATGTCCAGTTGGATATGATCGTTGAGTATCCTCCCTGCATGGAGATCTGCGTGGCGATCTGTGTGGAGATGAGTACGTAGAACTATGTGTAGTTCTAAGAGGAGATCTGTATGGCTACCCGCGCGGAGGTGAGCCGCCTACGCAGTCCGGGGTTGCCTTCGCCAAAGGCACTATATTCCTATGTGGTGAATCCCGCGATGACCTGCGCGTGGTGATGGTGACATTATTGATGATCTATCTGACGACCTTCGCGCAGGTGAGAGATTTTGTTGAGGGTCTGAGTCCTGAGACGTCTCTCTGTATCTTCTTGGAGGTGTAAGCTTCTTCCTCTGTGATGTAGGTAGCCTGCGCGAAGGCTCTTTATTAGCCTCATCATCAGATGACGATCTATTCCGGTCGGATGAATGTCCCTTCCTTCGCGCAGGTTCGCTGGACGCCGCGGTGCAGGGTAGGTCTGCTCTTAGTCCTAGAGCTAGAACCTCTTGTAGACATCTCAGATGCACCACCGGTGCGGGGTCCTTCGTGCAGCACTGGTCCCTCTCGTAGGTTGATGACTTGAGCATGAGAGCCGGCTGGCTGTCCATCATGCAAGGTCCTTTCCTGCACAAAGCGCTTCTCCATCAGGTCCATCATCTGTTGGGAGAATTGCTGCATGAAGGTCCCGGGGTTGAATGTCTGCGACGACTGTAGAGATGACGCATCTGAGAGGGTAGCGATATGGTCCAGGGATCGCTGTACCTCATGGGTCCCTGCTGCCAGTGTAGAAGGTAACTCAGACTGCGTCGATAAGGTTGCTGACGTTACCGTTGCTGAGGCCTGCGTCTTCTTCTTATGTAGTATCTCTGGGATGAGGATAGGCGGCTCTTCATATAAGCCTATTTCTTCCATCGGGACGTTCTCAGCAGAAAAGGTCCTCGTAGTCTGTGATGAGCCCCCAGTAGATCTCGTTGAAGCCTTAGGTGTATAAGGCTTCTTCTGCGACGAAGATGACCTCTTCTTCTTCGTATGGGTTGAGGAGTTGTCCGACATAGAAGATCTTTTCTTCGACGTAATGGCGGACTTCATCCCACGCCCATCTTCTGAAGACGGCTCCGGCAGATCACTGGATGGTAGTATGTCGTCTGACAACGACAAACAGCTCTTTAGGGACTCAGCCGGTTTAGCCATGACTTGCAACAGCCGTCTGGATTTATCCTTAGCACGTCTAAGTACAGAAAGATAATAATTATTAAATTCCAATTTTGTTAAATGCTGACACAATTTAAAGCGAGAGCTGGAAGTACATGCTGCTGTGCAACTAGGGCACAATAAATGCGGGTCTGCAGCAGAGAACCTAAACCTGCAACGAAAACAGGTTTTCATGAAATGTAAACAAATTGAACAATCACGTGAAAACGCGAATAAACAGGCAAATTTGCTAATAAATTTCAAACCATATTGTAGAAGGATACTCCCTGAAACCTTATAAAGGTAACTGATAGGGTAATAACTAAGTTAGAAAAGGATATAGTGCTGTGTTGGAGACCCAGGTGCTCTCCCAACCGTCCACTAGGGCGAAGAAGGAGAGAGTGAAGAGTGGGAAGACGGGTGGCGCCGTTTTCCCGCCAAAAAGGTGAGGGAGATAACTCTTGGTGAGTAGTGATTTTACGTCTGCTTTTTTTAAGGGAGCTTCAAAAAGAAGATTCAAGTGTTCCACTAATGTCTGCGGGAAGAGGGAGACAAGCAAAAATACATGAGTCAGGATAAGGAAAAATAATCGTTTATGTTTTTTAAAATCAATAATCATTTTTAATCCTTCTTTTCATAGATTTTCAATTATTTTCCATCATTGGAACAACACTAGTGTCAGCACAGTCCACATATCCAGTGTGACAGTTGGTCGTTCAGTTCATGTTCACCTTCTACCGTGACCACAGTCACCATCTTTGTTTGCTCTGTAACACAACCTACATGATCCCAGAAACCAATGCTGGTTGTCCAGGTGACAATAAGTGGATTGTGTGGCCAGGTTTCACTGTAGTGTGACTCAAACTATCAATCACTGGTTTGTCCAGACAAAGCTACAACATAGTACTGAGGCCAGCTACAGGGCTACAACATAGTACTGAGGCCAGCTACAGGGCTACAACTTACTACTGAGGCCAGCTACAGGGCTACAACATAGTACTGAGGCCAGCTACAGGGCTACAACATAGTACTGAGGCCAGCTACAGGGCTACAACATAGTACTGAGGCCAGCTACAGGGCTACAACATAGTACTGAGGCCAGCTAACAGGGCTACAACATAGTACTGAGGCTAGCTACAGGGCTACACACATGTATTGTGGCCAGTTAGAGTATTGTGGCTACAACATAGTACTGAGGCTAGCTACAGGGCTACACACATGCTTTGTGGCCAGTTATAGTACTACATAGTACTGAGGCTAGCTGGGCTACAATCAGTTAGTACAATCAAGTACTGAGGCCAGCTACAGTGCTACAACACGACTGTGTCCTGCAACCAAGGTATATATGGACATCATAAGAGTGTCACAGTAATCATGGCTACAGCAGTTTTAAGTGTTACTGTGGTATCAGATTCACATCTCTGTACCTGGAACCTGACGGTGTGTGTGCGAGTGTCTGGGCGGATGTCGGTTCCCTCCGTGTCGGAGGCGGACACGTTACTGTGGGCAGGATCTAGCTCGGGGTCAGAGGTCATGAAGCTTGCTGTACTGGAGGTGCTCATCGACCGATCTCTACCATGATCTGGAACAGTAGTACTCAGGATTTCACAAATACACTCTCTATCTTGATCTGGAACAGTAGTACTCAGGATTTCACAAATACAATCTCTATCTTGATCTGGAACAGTAGTACTCAGGATTTCACAAATACACTCTCTATCTTGATCTGGAACAGTAGTACTCAGGATTTCACAAATACAATCTCTATCTTGATCTGGAACAGTAGTACTCAGGATTTCACAAATACACTCTCTACCTTGATCTGGAACAGTAGTACTCAGGATTTCACAAATACAATCTCTATCTTGATCTGGAACAGTAGTACTCAGGATTTCACAAATACAATCTCTATCTTGATCTGGAACAGTAGTACTCAGGATTTCACAAATACAATCTCTATCTTGATCTGGAACAGTAGTACTCAGGATTTCACAAATACACTCTCTATCTTGATCTGGAACAGTAGCACTCAGGATTTCACAAATACACTCTCTACCTTGATCTGGAACAGTAGCACTCAGGATTTCACAAATACACTCTCTTCCTTGATCTGGAGCAGTAGCACTCAGGATTTCACAAATACACTCTCTACCCCTACAATTGATACAGCCTGTCGGCAAATCTACCATGAGCTATCCACGTAGTAGTTTGATGCTTAATGCCACAGTCTACAATATTCTTTAGCTGTATCATGGAAGGCAAATCAGAGTTCTATATGGAGTAAATAATACTTCCTACACTTGAAACTGGTCAGCATGCACAATACATGTTTGAGGACCTCCTGCAGTATAGATAGGATACATACATTGACACATCACAATGACGTGCAATTATTCATGTGCTGGAGTTCTGACCACCAGGTCCATTAAGTCAAAGAAAACTTTCCTGCAATTCCCACTGACTCACTGTGAAGGAGAATATGATGACATGGTTCGAACTCTATCCCGACATTGAGCAGACGGAGCAGACCCACTCGTCAATCCCACTACAGTCAGTGGGTTGTACTTACTGTGAAGGAGAATATGATGACATGGTTCGAACTCTATCCCAACATTGAGCAGACGGGGGAGACCCACTTGTCAATCCCACTACAGTCAGTGGGTTGTACTTACTGTGAAGGAGAATATGATGACATGGTTCAAACTCTATCCCGACATTGAGCAGACGGAGCAGACCCACTCGTCAATCCCACTACAGTCAGTGGGTTGTACTTACTGTGAAGGAGAATATGATGACATGGTTCGAACTCTATCCCGACATTGAGCAGACGGAGCAGACCCACTCGTCAATCCCACTACAGTCAGTGGGTTGTACTTACTGTGAAGGAGAATATGATGACATGGTTCGAACTCTATCCCGACATTGAGCAGATGGGGGAGACCCACTCGTCAATCCCACTACAGTCAGTGGGTTGTACTTACTGTGAAGGAGAATATGATGACATGGTTCGAACTCTATCCCGACATTGAGCAGACGGGGGAGACCCACTCGTCAATCCCACTACAGTCAGTGGGTTGTACTTACTGTGAAGGAGAATATGATGACATGGTTCAACTCTATCCCATTGAGAGACATTGAGCAGGCGGGAGACCCACTCGTCAATCCCACTACAGTCAGTGGGTTGTACTTACTGTGAAGGAGAATATGATGACATGGTTCAAACTCTATCCCGACATTGAGCAGATGGGGGAGACCCACTCGTCAATCCCACTACAGTCAGTGGGTTGTACTTACTGTGAAGGAGAATATGATGACATGGTTCAAACTCTATCCCGACATTGAGCAGGCGGAGCAGACCCCACTCGTCAATCCCACTACAGTCAGTGGGTTGTACTTACTGTGAAGGAGAATATGATGACATGGTTCAACTCTATCCCGACATTGAGCAGAAACATTGAGCGGGGAGACCCACTCGTCAATCCCACTACAGTCAGTGGGTTGTACTTACTGTGAAGGAGAATATGATGACATGGTTCGAACTCTATCCCACAGTCAGTTTGACATTGAGCAGATGGACAAAGAATACCTGGGAGAAGCTTAGGTATTTGAGGTTAAGACTCCTGAATGTACATGAGAACAAATCATTGCAATTATCTGACCTTCTTTCTGGAACAGAAAAACAGAACAGGACTATCATCATCCTCGATAATCTCCAGGGTATACGTTACGATAAATCTACACTATACCCTGGATGCATCTATGTCTCGGCTCCATGATTTTATTACCTCCCTTGGCTGGCAATTTCTCCAATCAGGTGTCTACGCTGGGAAGTTGAGCATACCAATCACAACTCACTTTTGCTTCTTTTATCTAACTGATTAAACTTGGCAACATAATTGTTGCAGAGGTACTCTGAAAGAGGTAGAAAGAGTTCTTGCATATATTTTTTAAGGTTTCAGACCAGTCAATTTGTCTGTATGATTTCCCCCCAAATCTGAGTCGCACTACGAACAAACATTCGTGGCTGCGACCGCTATCTTTGTTGACACTGGCAAGCTCGGTTGTAACGGTGGCTTAGCTGAGTGGCTAGTGTGAGAATGCAGAGCCAGCAAAGGGAGGTAATAAAATTATCTGTCCGAGCCATAGATTCAGGGTACTAGTGGAGATTTATTGTAAGGTATACCCTGGAGATTATAGAGGATGGATTATCATGAGACATGGTGACTACAAAGCTAAAATACTGTTCCCCATCTCCTTATGGTGGCATGAAAAGGGGCATCTTTCTGTAGATCTGAACTCACATCTACGGATGTTTTCTTCTGCAACTACTTGATTATGCATGCACCTCAAGTTGGTCCATTCCTTATAAATGTCACTCCTGCTTATGTTACTGACTTGTTGTGTAATTGACAAAACATGTATGCTGAGTAAATGGTTGAGTGAGGTTTTATGCCGCTTTCAGCAATATTCTAGAAATATCATAGTGGGGGACACCAAACTCGGACTTCACACATGGAACCTGGGTTTTGGGCATGACTAGCAAAGACTTTAACCACTAGGCTACCCCACCACCCTGTTTTATGCAAACAACTCACCAATCCAATGAAAGGAAAGTCTACGTGATCCAATCAAACTCCTTGGCAGTCCTGTGACACACCCATGGAGAACCTTTGCTGCAAAACAAAACCAGCATCAGACCTACTCATGTGAGTGAGTAAGTGAGTTGGGTTTTATGCCACTTTTAGCAATATTCCAGCAATATTATAGCGGGGGACACCAGAAATGGGCTTCATTGTACCCAAGTGGGGAATCGAACCTGGGCCTTCGGCCTGATGAGCAAACGCTTTAACCACTGGGCTACCCCACCGCCCCCTACTCATGTACGAGTTTGCGGGTTCATACAATATTGGCTGAATTTTCCATTACTTTTTTAGAGCATAACAGAAAATCTGGGGATTTAAATTGCATGACTTGCTTTTAGTTGTAGCACTGGAGCTAGCTGTAGTTTCTTGATGATGAACAATATTATTACATTATTTAGTGTAACACATTAAAAATATTTTGCTTTCCAACGAGTACTCTTCAATCCCTGGGAAACTCAGCCTAACATTTCCTGGCCCTTCGAACCCTGTGGATTACAGCAATTCCTGGGTTCGAATCCTGAATGGAACTAATTATGTTTCCAGGTGTGTTGACTGTATGTCATCTTTTTATCAGTTTCATGTATGTGAGTGAGTGAGTTTAGTTTTACGCCGCACTCAGTGGTCAGGACAAGACAATCCGGTGATCAACAACATGAGCTTTGATCTACGCAATTGGGATACAATGACTTGTGTCAACCAAGTCAACGAGTCTGACCACCCGATCCCGTTAGTCGCCTCTTATGACAAGCATGGGTTACTGAAGATCAATTCTAACCTGGATCTTCACGGGTCAGTTTCATGTTCAAGGGAAGGCACTTGTGACACATTTACCACATCAGTGAAACAAGCATGAGGACGCTGTTCATCCTAAACCCGCCAACGTAGAGGTGCAATAAGGGCTACCTACTGTGATGCACCATGCTGATGTAGTACTTGATGGTGTTGTCGTCTGCTGCCGCTGTTGGCGAGGCCTTGCCCTTGGAGGAGGTGAAGGTCATATGTTGATGACACAGGCAGTACGTCCCGTTTGCCTGACTCAGCACACAGGTATTTAGACTCACATCTACACAAACACAAAATACAGGTCTAAACACAAACAATGTCAATGAAACATCAGGTATGACAACTCACAGTAGCAAAACAGTAACCTAAAACTGAAATGTTAACATGTGCAACTTCTGAAAACATTTATTTCGCATGGGAAACTCTGTCTTCAGTCTCAGATTAATCTACCATGTCTGCTGCTAACATAACATGGATGTCAAAAGCATCTCTGGTTTAATCATTCAAATCTGAAAATTCACATGGCTTAAAACATAAAAATCCCATTGTTCTCTTAACTATAACGGAGTAAAGATCTACACAATTCCTTTCTATTTACCCCTCATACCAGAAGACGTTAAAATATGGTACTGGTTGGTCCCTGCCTGGCGCTCGGCATTAATGGGTACAACAAGGACTGGTCGGCTCAGAGTCAGTATAATGTGTCTGAGTGGGGTATTCATGCTTCACTGCGGCATGGTATCTCAGTGGGCTAGCACTATAAAACCAGCTTAAGTCTGGCCTAGTACAAACAGGCGCACATACACATACACAAGCATGCTCGTCATCATATGAGCCAAATATTCTCAAGTACGACGTTAAACCCAATTTCACCTCAACTTCTATTTACCCCACTTCGGTCAAATGATTAAAGATTAAAATAAAGCCAAATACGTAGGGTTTTCAATTCTTTGAAGAAAGTCTTCCAAGGAGTACAAATATGGATTTTCTGCTGCTGAAAATGTCCTGTGACAGTTGCACCAATGTTTTAATATGAATACTGTACAAATAATAAAACTTGTTTTTATCTGTTATACGGCCCCCGCCACTTATGATTACCTCCCCCTACATCTCATGTGCTGGTAACCAGGTCACCTTGCCCCACCTCATCATTCCTTCTGCTGATGATAAACATCAGAGAACAGAATTGTGGGGAGGTGGGAGGTCCTACCCCAAGGAAAACTCTCTTTAAAGAAATGCAAACCCCCATTCTTTTTCAGAAGAGGTCATTCTTGGGATACATCTATTTTAACACAGACTTCCAAGAACCAAAGTCACAGGTGTAGAGAAATTCTGTTAGTGTACAAAAACCCAAAATAGCAAACAAGAAGACAAAGTCATCAATATCCCCCGCAATGTCAAATTACTCTTCATGATTATGTCTACAAGTTATGATTATGTCAAATATTTAGGTGTGTATATAGAAAAGTGGAAGGAGAGTATTGAAAGGTTTTTGAAGTTCTTCTCCAGAAAATAACACTATCACCAAATTGTGAATGGTTTTAGAGTTCTGCTCCGGAAAATTTGAGACAAAAGTGCACAAAAAAAGTATTGAAAGGTTTTGAAGTTCTTCTCCAGAAAATAGCACTTATCACCAAATTGTGAATGGTTTTTAGAGTTCCGAGACAAAAAGTCCATTTTTGACGACCCCATGAAGCGTGTTATGGGGATAAAAGTATTGAAAGGTTTTTGAAGTTCTTCTCCAGAAAATAGCACTATCACCAATTTCAGTCAAAGTGAAACTTGTTGCCATGGAAACGCAAAAATATTTTATTCAGAATTCCAAAACTACCAAAAGGCACCAGTACACCACCAGATCTATCTATGTGCCAAGTTTGGTGAAGAAACATTAAACGGTTTTACAGTTTTGCTCCGGAAAAGAGCACTACCCACCAATTTCAGTCTAAGTCAAACTTGTTGCCATGGAAACGCCAAAAATATTTTATTCAGAATTCCAAAACTACCAAAAGGCACCAGTACACCACTAGATCTATCTATGTACCAAGTTTGGTGAAGAAATAGTGAACAGTTTTAGAGTTCTGCTCCGGAAAAGAGCACTACCACCAATTTCAGTCTAAGTCAAACTTGTTGCCATGGAAATGCCAACAATATTTTATTCAGAATTCCAAAACTACCAAAAGGCACCAGTACACCACCAGATCTATCTATGTACCAAGTCTGGTGAAGAAATAGTCAATGGTTTTAGAGTTCTGCTCCGGAAAAGACAAAAATGCACGGACGGACGGACGCATGGACGGAGTCCATTTTAATACCCCCAGCAAAACGAGTTGCGGGGGATAAAAAGTGAATCTGAACTAATGTTGACTCACCATTTTATTTAGCAGTTCACATCTCGCAGCTTGATGGCAGACAGGCCAGGTGGTGACCTGTCAGGGGTTCATACCCATTTCCATCTTAACATGTGTTTATGATCATATAATGTTGTAACGTTCATAACCCACACCTCATCCCCCTTTTGGTGAAGGATGACGGAAGGGACACACAAACCTGGCCTGACCAGAAAAGCTGGTACGGCTACATGATGTAGAGATATGAACCTTCAGAGGATATATCAGTAACAGAAACTGAACACAGATCCAGTACCAATGATCCGACTCACCACAGGGTGGCAGGACACTGTCCATGGGAGAGAACTACCATGAACCAAGCACCATCTCTAGACCGCGTCTTGAGGTGTTAATAATGAAAGATGGTGCTCAGACAGCTCCAAGGAGAGGTAGGCACCATGGACCTTTACCCGTTCCTGCTCACACTAAGAACACTATGCTATTTCTGAGCAGGAATATATTTCCTAGTGGTGATCAATTACCCAAACATGTTGATTACCTCCCCTGTTCTTGAGACTTACCAGGAATGCCAGGATTCAGTGGTCTATCGGCATAGTGGGACCTACAGAACCAACACAAAGGTTGTCATTACACTCATGCAGTTAATACAGAAGACAAACTGACAGAACTTCAGCGCAGTTTCTAGAACATGTATCTTTAAGAAATAGCTTCTCTATCATCCATGTACTTGCTGACAAATCTGATTTCCTGTTGAAAGTTTAGATGAATGAGAGTTTAGTTTTACGCCACACTCAGCAATATTCAGCGGTCGGCCTACCTTTAGAATACAGCACCAGAAACTTTAAAAATACATCATAATACCCTTTTACGTAATGTAATGTGATTTTGTTCGAAAGCACGTTCTCAAAACATTGCCCTATGACGCCTGCATGGCAACACGGTTGTCTAGCTCTGCGAGTGCGTATAAGCTCCGCTCACTGGTGTTTCATCTCTACTAGCTATGTCATTGCATAAGCCCAACGATTTTGAGAGTTTCCAGTAGTTGTATACTGGCGGATGCGCATTTTTTTGCAAGCACCAGTTTGAAATATTTTTCTTTTTTCACTAATACGCTCATATTTATTTGTATTACGGGGTGCTGAGGTGTTATGTTTTGTGCACTATTGTATTTTGTATGTTTTAAATTTAGCGAGAATGCGTTACACCGGCCTATATTATATATATTCGATTATTCGCAATTTTGGTCAATGTAATTATTTAAATTATGTAAATATATTTTATATTTTGGTTTCTAAGTAACTATTTAGTCTAAATGATTTACCAATGTGAACTGAAATACATATATATATATATTTTTTCATTCAGTAATTTGCACCATTACATAGAAACTTTTTTTATTAGTATTTTATTTTTCGAAGTGGTAAAAATGCATTACACTGGACACGTCAGTCATGTTTGTGCTGGTTCGGTCAATGCATTCTATTTATTAGGATTATGTCATGGGGTTAGGGTTAGGGCTGAGGGCTGAGGGCTGAGGGCTGAGGGCTGAGGGTTTAGGGTTTAGGGTTTAGTGTTAGGGACCTAATCCAATATAGTAGGTACATGTCCGGTGTAATACGTGAGTACCATTTGTTGTTTTCCCTTTTGCATTTTAATACTGCCGGTTCGGTCAATGCATTCTATTTATTAGGATTATTTCAAGGGGTTAGGGTTAGGGTTAGGGTTAGGGCTGAGGGTTTAGGGTTTAAGGTTTAGGGGTTAGGGTTAGGGTTAGGGTTAGGGGCCTAATCCAATATAGTTGGTCCGGTGTAATACGTGAGTACAATTTGTTGGTTTTCCTTTTTGCATTTTAATACTTTTTTTTTCTCACACAAAAACGGGAAACCAAAAACGTCGAAAGTACACTATGAAATGGTTTAATGTAGAAATTTTGGGCTAATGGAAACTGGCCTGGAATTTGCACTCAAGCCTCTTTCACACAGAACATAAATTTTGTTCAGTAATGATTCGAAGGCTAACTCACCTTCGTGCCGTCAAAACACATGCTCATGTCTCCCTCGTTCCTTAGTGCGATCCACATTATCCTTACAGCGTTCCCTACATCACTTTTCTGTCACAAAATCACCGATTTATATAAATGCGCGTCATTCATGCATGCACCGTAAAATCTACGTCTGACGCCTGACGTCAACAACCCTTTCAGTTTGAGGCATACCGGCTCATTCCACGCCACACGCTATCTTGCAGATTACGGAATGGGATTTGAGTGTGCCAAATGGCATCAGATCCATTCTGCAATTGTCCATAGATAAAAATCACGAGACACCAAGTCTACCCGTAACCTTCGTAATTGTTCGTGACCTATTTGACTCTTTCCGTTCATTTCCGTGACGTCACAGGAATGACTCGATAAATTTGCACATTGTGCAACAGTGTGGACGTAGCTCAGTCGGTTAGCTGTCGAGCTAACAATCCGAAGGTTGCGGGTTCGCGTCCGACGGGTTCTCACAAACTGGTTGCTTGTCTTAATGACACGTGACCTACGGCAGAGAGAAGTTGTGGTGCTGTATTCTAAAGGTGCTCCCAGCGGTCTGTAAATAATTTAGTTTGGACCAGACAATCCAGTAATCAATAGCATGAGCATTGATCTATGCAATTTGGATACAATGACATGTGTCAACCAAGTCAGCAAGCCTGACCGCCCAATCCCATTAGTCGCCTCTTACGACAAGCACAGGTTACTGAAGATCGATTATAACCCAGATCTTCACGGGTGAAAATTTAGATGACATCCCCCAAGTTTAACAGAGTGATATGGAACAGCAAGACTTACCTTAAAGTTGACCTGATATAGGGAAAGGGGAACTTCAATGGAATGTCAAGCTGAAAGAACACAAACAAATCAAGTCAAATCAAAGACAAAATATTTGTCCTTGTAAATACTATGAAGGGAGAGTTCAAACAATAGTGATATACTGTAAATAATCCAAGCAGAAATATATCAGTCATATTGTAACTTGTTTTAGTCACGATATGGCTGAAATACTGCCAATGTAAGTAAAAATCCTAACTCACTCTCTATTTCATGACAGATTCCTTACTTGTGAGCCAAGAACCTTCACATTAGTTTAAGCTATGACATAACTGGAACCTCATTTTTTTATGCATAGCTTTTTGGGGTATCAGTTACTTTTTTCAAGTTAGAAATTAGTCTTGATTTCTCGGGGCTCCAGATAAGGGCCGTATTGGCGTATGTGCAGATAAAAAATATGCACGATATGGTAGGAAATAATTTAGAAAACGTAGCACATACACACCACAGCAATGCTGTACGGTCTGGGAATCATTTACAGACGTATTTATCTGAAAGAGTGTTGTTTATTGTTTATTGACCTGTTTACACAAGAGCAGCAATGTTGTGGTGCATATATGAAACGAAACACAAGATTACTGATACGCCATTAAATTCCACTCAGTACTCAAAATGTACTCTTAAGTTTATCCAGTATTCCTATATTGAAGAAATAAGGTGTACGTACTCCTGATGTGGAAAAATTGTCTGGAGCCCTGTTTCTAATAGCAGCATGCCTCTATAGCAATATGTGAATTTGACATACACCATGTTGCAGTCCTTTGGTGTGAAGGAAGCCCATGAAGAGTTTTTATTCTCAGATTTGCCCTGATGAAGATGGTTTATGGTATCAGCCCCAATTACTTCTTCGTGGGCTTCACCAAAGTGGTAAATATCAAGCATTCCACACATGCCTCACTCACTCACCCAATCACTCACTCACACACAATCACCCACACCACCTCACCCACCCACTCACACAATCCCCACCCACCCACTCACTCACTCACACAATCCCCACCTCACCTCACCTCACCTCACTCACTCACTCACTCACTCACCCAATCACTGACCCACTCCACTCACACAATCCCCCACCCACCCACTCACTCACTCACTCACACAATCACCCACGACTCTCACCTCACCCACCCACTCACACCCACCCACCCACTCACCACTCACACAATCACCCACCTCACCTCACCTCACTCACTCACTCACTCCACCCACTCACTCACTCACCCACCCACTATTCCATGTAATGCAGCAAACACTCAAAGTGCTTCTGCTAAACCTACAAGTAGAGGTATGTTGGTCAGAAACAACGGTTTATAATCAAACCCCTCAGTTTCTGTCACTTATGCCATCAGGTAACCAATGTCCCCTTACCATGCTGTCATGGTCAGCATTCTTATGGAACTGAAGAGTGGAAAGTTTCTGAGCCACGGCGCTGCTGTTGTCCCCTTGTGGGCGGTAGTTGTAGATGTAGTGGAGTCGCTGGTTGACGGCGTCCCACTGACACCAAACAAACTTCCGTACTAACTGCATGGTTTGTGGTTGGTCGGACATGACCTAGATGAGACAGAGGTTTATCAGGATTAAACACACAGGACTTGAGGAGACTGGGGTTTATCAGGATTATATACATAGGACTTGAGGAGACTGGGGTTTATCAGGATTATATACATAGGACTTGAGGAGACAGGGGTTTATCAGGATTATACACATGGACTTGAGGAGACAGGGGTTTATCAGGATTATATACACAGGACTTGAGGAGACAGGGGTTTATCAGGATTATATACATAGGACTTGAGGAGACAGGGGTTTATCAGGATTATACACATGGACTTGAGGAGACAGGGGTTTATCAGGATTAAAAACACAGTACTTGAGGAGACTGGGGTTCATCAGGATTATACGGATGGACTTGAGGAGACTGGGGTTTATCAGGATTATACACACGGTACATGAGGAGACTGGGGTTAATCAGGATTATACACATGGACTTGAGGAGACTGGGGTTTATCAGGATTAAACACACAGGACTTGAGGACACTGGGGTTCATCAGGATTATACACACGGGACATGAGGAGACTGGGGTTTATCAGGATTAAACACATGGACTTGAGGAGACTGGGGTTAATCAGGATTATACACATTGGACTTGAGGAGACTGGGGTTAATCAGGATTATACACACAGGACTTGAGGAGACTGGGGTTTATCAGGATTATACACATGGACTTGAGGAGACTGGGGTTTATCAGGATTATACACATGGGACTTGAGGAGACTGGGGTTTATCAGGATTATACACACGGGACATGAGAAGACTGGGGTTTATCAGGATTATACACATGGGACTTGAGGAGACTGGGGTTTATCAGGATTATACACTTGGACTTGAGGAGACTGGGGTTTATCAGGATTATACACACTGGACTTGAGGAGACTGGGGTTTATCAGGATTATACACATGGGACTTGAGGAGACTGGGGTTTATCAGGATTATACACATGGGACTTGAGGAGACTGGGGTTTATCAGGATTATACACACAGTACTTGAGGAGACAGGGGTTCATCAGGATTATACACACGGACTTGAGGAGACTGGGGTTTATCAGGATTATACACATGGGACTTGAGGAGACTGGGGTTTATCAGGATTATACACACACTACATACAGGAGGAGACTGGGGTTTATCAGGATTATACACATGGACTTGAGGAGACTGGGGTTTATCAGGATTAAACACACAGGACTTGAGGACACTGGGGTTCATCAGGATTATACACATGGGACATGAGGAGACTGGGGTTTATCAGGATTATACACAAGCTACATGAGGAGACTGGGGTTTATCAGGATTATACACATGGACTTGAGGAGACTGGGGTTTATCAGGATTAAACACATGGGACTTGAGGAGACTTGGGTTCATCAGGATTATACACACGGTACATGAGGAGACTGGGGTTAATCAGGATTATACACATGGACTTGAGGAGACTGGGGTTTATCAGGATTATACACACGGGGCATGAGGAGACTGGGGTTTATCAGGGTTAAACACACAGGACTTGAGGAGACTGGGGTTCATCAGGATTATACACACGGGGCATGAGGAGACTGGGGTTTATCAGGGTTAAACACACAGGACTTGAGGAGACTGGGGTTAATCAGGATTATACACATGGGACTTGAGGAGACTGGGGTTTATCAGGATTATACACATGGGACTTGAGGAGACTGGGGTTTATCAGGATTATACACACGCTACATGAGGAGACTGGGGTTTATCAGGATTATACACATGGACTTGAGGAGACTGGGGTTTATCAGGATTAAACACACAGGACTTGAGGAGACTGGGGTTCATCAGGATTATACACATGGGACTTGAGGAGACTGGGGTTTATCAGGATTATACACACGCTACATGAGGAGACTGGGGTTTATCAGGATTATACACATGGACTTGAGGAGACTGGGGTTTATCAGGATTAAACACACAGGACTTGAGGAGACTGGGGTTTATCAGGATTATACACACAGGTACATGAGGAGACTGGGGTTTATCAGGATTATACACATGGACTTGAGGAGACTGGGGTTTATCAGGATTATACACATGGGACTTGAGGAGACTGGGGTTTATCAGGATTATACACATGGGACATGAGGAGACTGGGGTTTATCAGGATTATACACATGGACTTGAGGAGACTGGGGTTTATCAGGATTAAACACACAGGACTTGAGGAGACTGGGGTTCATCAGGATTATACACACGGGACATGAGGAGACTGGGGTTTATCAGGATTATACACATGGACTTGAGGAGACTGGGGTTAATCAGGATTATACACATGGGACTTGAGGAGACTGGGGTTTATCAGGATTATACACATGGGACTTGAGGAGACTGGGGTTCATCAGGATTAAACACACGGGACATGAGGAGACTGGGGTTTATCAGGATTATACACATGGACTTGAGGAGACTGGGGTTTATCAGGATTATACACATGGGACTTGAGGAGACTGGGGTTTATCAGGATTATACACTTGGACTTGAGGAGACTGGGGTTTATCAGGATTATACACATGGGACTTGAGGAGACTGGGGTTTATCAGGATTATACACATGGACTTGAGGAGACTGGGGTTTATCAGGATTATACACATGGGACTTGGGGAGTCTGGAGTTTATCAGGATTATACACATGGGACTTGGGGAGTCTGGGGTTTATCAGGATTATACACATGGGACTTGGGGAGACTGGGGTTTATCAGGAATATACACATGGGACTTGGGGAGTCTGGGGTTTATCAGGATTATACACATGGGACTTGGGGAGTCTGGGGTTTATGAGGATTATACACATGGGACTTGGGGAGACTGGGGTTTATCAGGATTATACACATAGAACGCGATTAAGCAGACATACGTTTGTCAGGATTATACTCATGGGACATGATGCACAGAGTTATGATTATTACCTGGAGGAGACAGGTCTTGTATTTAAGAATACACTTCGCTCTACCACCATGTATAGTGTAATAAAACACACTTTTGCCCTGAACTATTATAGTTAAACGTTATAATAGTTTAACTATTATAGTTAAACGTTATAATAGTTCAGGGCGAAAGTGTGTTTTATTACACTATACATGGTGGTAGAGCGAAGAGTATTTCTTTTCTAAGATGCCAAATTTAATACTTTCTAAAGATAATTACGATTAATTTAAGGCAGAAAACAAACGACAGTGTCGGTGACCTAAATTAAAAATCCTCGCACAGGGCTAACTGGCGAGCTGTTCTATTGATGTGTCTGCCCCCTACGTTAAGACGAACGTTACCAGAAAAAAAAATGATAACAGTTTGATGACGGTTTACGTTTGGATTAAATTTCTTCTCTGAATTATTTTAAATACATCTGTCATTAACGTAAACCCTATGGGGCAATATGAACGTTGCATTTCTACTACCAGCGTAAGTTTAGATCAGTACATCCAGAGGAAGTTGAGTAGTCAAGCGACATTCAACAATTGCTTTGTGGGAATGTAAACATTACAATGACACATTTTAACCGTCGTAAAACATAAACGTAATGTTTCCACCAGTGATGTTAGCTGCGTGAAGCAACAGCAAACCAAGAAACTGGATGCAACGGTGTAGTTTACTGTAGGAGGCCGTACGAGGCGATGACAACTGACATGCATCGTGACGTCGCCTACATTGTGAAGTAATGTAAAATGGTTCGATTGCGAGGGGGCACACTAGAATGGCGCAGTGACGGGATAATGTCATTCAATTGTTACGTCATCAAAAAACTATACCTTTATTGTCTGATAATGTATTTTTTTGATTGTTCTAACCGCTAGGCATCTTAGAACATTAGATACACAGGGAAGATCACATCAGGGATTGGGATGTTCTAAAGCGTTTCAGGCATCATGTCAGAAGATATGCATAACGTTAACTATTCAATATTACTTCTTAATGACATTAATTCTTGATTACAGATAACAGAAAGTAAACACTCACGGTTCTCTTATCCCCAGCTCTTGCCATTGGGATCTTGTATAAACCTATTGCTGAAAATAGAAAGCAACAATACATACACAAAGATAAAGCAATATTTGATGCTAATCACGGTTACAATGACCCAGCTGAACAAATCACAGTTACACAAAGGGGGATAACTCTTGGTACCTTGTTGTGGAAGACATTAAATTAATAGATTCAGCTTTGAGGTGAGATTGTAAACACATGTGATTCTCATGAAAGAATACATAACCAAAAATTCAAAGCATTCAAAGTTTAGTGCCAACACCTTTATAACCTGTCTTCATAAACAGAAAGACATGACAACACGCGAGGATCATCAAGTACAGTCCGTTTGATTCCATTTGAGACTGATGAATTGTGGTCCCCCTTCGTTAAGAATAGCGAAAAGTGACTACAAAATAATGATCATTTCTTGAACAACTTTTTTATTCTGGTATCCAAAATTATGAGACAAAGTTGGTCTGTTGATTTCACGTGACTGTGCAAAATTGGTTTTGTTGCATTTATTACATTTTGTGTTAGTGAGCAATTAATCGGTCTCAAATGAAATCAAACGGACTGTACATATGAATCAAATTCTGCTATGGATCAGAATCAGTGGTGACAGTAAAGTGAAAAATAGATGTCACTGCATTTATAATGATGATCTTCACACGTACCTGTACCTAGTCAACAATTAATAGACAAATTATCACATTTTCCAAACAAATAGTTCCATGGACAGAAGACATTATAGTGTCAGCCTGAAGGTAACTTGAATTGTGGTTGGACAGACTAGTTACTTACACTCTTTATGAAGGAAGACCAGAAGATGAGACTCCCTGGGAGCTGATTGGTTGGACAGACTAGGTGTGTCATACTTACACTCTTTATGAAGGAAGACCAGAAGATGGGACTCCCTGGGGGCTGATTGGTTGGACAGACTAGGTGTGTCATACTTACACTCTTTATGAAGGAAGACTAGAAGATGGGACTCCCTGGGGGCTGATTGGTTGGACAGACTAGGTGTGTTATACTTACACTCTTTATGAAGGAAGACTAGAAGATGGGACTCCCTGGGAGCTGATTGGTTGGACAGACTAGGTGTGTCATACTTACACTCTTTATGAAGGAAGACTAGAAGATGGGACTCCCTGGGAGCTGATTGGTTGGACAGACTAGGTGTGTTATACTTACACTCTTTATGAAGGAAGACTAGAAGATGGGACTCCCTGGGGGCTGATTGGTTGGACAGACTAGGTGTGTCATACTTACACTCTTTATGAAGGAAGACTAGAAGATGGGACTCCCTGGGGGCTGATTGGTTGGACAGACTAGGTGTGTCATACTTACACTCTTTATGAAGGAAGACTAGAAGATGGGACTCCCTGGGGCTGATTGGTTGGACAGACTAGGTGTGTCATACTTACACTCTTTATGAAGGAAGACTAGAAGATGGGACTCCCTGGGAGCTGATTGGTTGGACAGACTAGGTGTGTCATACTTACACTCTTTATGAAGGAAGACTAGAAGATGGGACTCCCTGGGGGCTGATTGGTTGGACAGACTAGGTGTGTCATACTTACACTCTTTATGAAGGAAGACTAGAAGATGGGACTCCCTGGGAGCTGATTGGTTGGACAGACTAGGTGTGTCATACTTACACTCTTTATGAAGGAAGACCAGAAGATGGGACTCCCTGGGGGCTGATTGGTTGGACAGACTAGGTGTGTCATACTTACACTCTTTATGAAGGAAGACTAGAAGATGGGACTCCCTGGGAGCTGATTGGTTGGACAGACTAGGTGTGTCATACTTACACTCTTTATGAAGGAAGACTAGAAGATGGGACTCCCTGGGAGCTGATTGGTTGGACAGACTAGGTGTGTCATACTTACACTCTTTATGAAGGAAGACTAGAAGATGGGACTCCCTGGGGGCTGATTGGTCAGAATGACTTGAGTACAGAAACTGGACTTTGAGGAAGCTTCTTCGCTCAAGGTTGAGGGAGAAGACACGATAGTCCGAGGCTTGTAACTCGGCAAGATATGCTTGGTACATCTCTGAAAATACAGCGCCAGGAGATGAGTTGCTTCTCAGGCAGTGAAGCTCACCTTCAATCTTGTACACCTTCAACATACACAGTGCATTTGCATAGCCTAGTGGTTAAAGCGCTCGCTCGTGACACAGAAGACTCGGGTTCAATTCCCAACATTGGTACAGACACGATAGACTTTGGAATGTTGCGAAAGTGGTTCAAACCATGCGTGACAAAAATGTTTCTATGCTTGACCACCAGGATAATACCTCATAAAGAGATCCGCGATCTTCAATGGGATCGGCGACTATGGTCAGGGCTGACTAACAGCTGGGCACTTGGTTTGGTTGACACATGTCATCGGTTCCCAAATGCGCAGATCGATGCTCATGCTATTGATCACTGGATTGTCTGGTCAAGACTCGATTATTTACAGACTGCCGCCATATAGCTGGAATATTGCTGAGTGTGGCGTAAAACTAAACTCACTCACTCACCTCATAAAGTGGCCCCAAATTTTTCAAGTAGCCTTTAGGAATCCAAATCATACATAGAAACATATAAAAACTTATGCAAAGATCGGACTTAACATCATTCCAACTGTTCGTGGTCTTCATAGAATTATCATTGTTGACTGTGGCATATAACACACAAATAATGTAGTATTTTACCACACTGTTCATAAATGTGACCAGTCTTCTATGAAACAATTCAGAAAGCGACAGCTGCTTTAGACCTCAGTCTAGCAAGGTTCACCCAACGGGTGTAGCAATATATCGCTCCATTCCGTTGCTTCTTACAACCAGCAATGATTGCTGAGGTTCTATTCTAACAATGGATCCCCAACAAGGGGTAGTATTGGTAACAAGCTTCATCCAGCAAGTCTAGCAATATATCGCTCCATTCCGTTGCTTCTTACAACCAGCAATGATTGCTGAGGTTCTATTCTAACAATGGATCCCCAACAAGGGGTAGTATTGGTAACAAGCTTCATCCAGCAAGTCTAGCAATATATCGCTCCATTCCGTTGCTTCTTACAACCAGCAATGATTGCTGAGGTTCTATTATAAAGATGAATCCCCAACAAGGGGTAGTATTGGTAACAAGCTTCATCCAGCAAGTCTAGCAATATATCGTTCCATTCCATTGCTTCTTACAACCAGCAATGATTGCTGAGTTTCTATTCTAACAATGGATCCCCAACAAGGGGTACTATTGGTAACAAGCTTCATCCAGCAAGTGTAGCAATATATCGTTCCATTCAGTTGCTTCTTACAACCAGCAATGATTGCTGAGGTTCTATTATAAAGATGAATCCCCAACAAGGGGTAGTATTGGTAACAAGGTTCATCCAGCCAGTGTAGCAATATATCGTTCCATTCAGTTGCTTCTTACAACCAGCAATGATTGCTGAGGTTCTATTATAAAGATGAATCCCCAACAAGGGGTAGTATTGGTAACAAGGTTCATCCAGCAAGTCTAGCAATATATCGCTCCATTCCGTTGCTTCTTACGACCAGCAATGATTGCTGAAGTTCTATTCTAACAATGAATCCCCAACAAGGGGTAGTATTGGTAACAAGGTTCATCCAGCAAGTCTAGCAATATATCGCTCCATTCCGTTGCTTCTTACGACCAGCAATGATTGCTGAAGTTCTATTCTAACAATGAATCCCCAACAAGGGGTAAGGTTTACCTCTTCCAGTCTTGCCATCTTTAGATACATCCCCCTTGGACAAGGTTGTAAAAGCTGGAACAAATTATAACATCATTTGTATGCAGAAGCATCAACAACAGTTCAACTGTATTAAATTTATTCACACTGTTTAACTAAATACTTCATTCCTGAGGTAGTGTTAAAATTTCTTCTCTTCTGTATAGCTGCTTAGTTAATGGATAAGAACATTCAACAGATACAAATAAAAACATCAACAAAAACATAACAGCGACCTTTCTGGAAAACAATTAGTCATAAATATTGTATAATATTTGGCACAGACACAATTAATGCATAAAAATGGTAATTTGTAAAAATTGTAACCATTCTTCAATTTAACAATGAATCAGCTTGTAATTTTACACATTAACTTGTCTGGCCAATCAATATTCCGAATGGCTGGTTCATATGTTTATCTTGCCTTACTGAAGTTTACTTGTCTGACTGACTGACTGATTTTAGTTTTACGCCGCTTTTAGCAATATTCCAGCAACATCACGGCGGGGGACACCAGAAATGGGCTTCACACATTGTGCCCATGTGGGGATTCAAACCCTGGTCTTCGGCGTGACGAGCCAACGCTTTAACCATTAGGCTACCCCACCACCCCGAAGTTTACTTGTAAGAAATATCCTATAAACCTTAAACGATATATAAACACAGAACATGAATGTACTGATAAGAACAGGAAAGTCAAAAAGGTATTTATTTCTTCAAACTTGAACATAATGATCTGGGAAGTGTTGAACTATTCCAGTGGTACTTTATGAATTCCCTGCATGCAATGCTCCTACCTAGCAACGTCTTCGATGCATTGACGGAGCAGGATACAATCTTCAGCTTCTGGTTGTTGACTTGTATAACCTGAACACAAGTACATAAATCTCCTCCATCATCATAACTCATTGCTTTGGGGCATCTGATAGCCTTCAAAACTGATGACATGTTTCAGTGATAGTTATTGACTTGTTGAGGGTTTACAAGAGGGTTCTTAAAGCTATGCAGTCAGGTTCTAAACTAATATGTAATAATGTGATCATTCATTATGTGGAAACTACTGTATAGACAGTGTTGATGTTTGTTGAAAGATTTTCTTGAACTGAACTGCTTATTTTATCATTGAAATTACATTTGGGATGTTGAACTGATAGAACAGAATTGTAAAGGCACTTTGGAAAATGAGTCCTTGTCAAAGCAATTAAGTGCCTTGCCTTGTGGATTTGTATATATCTCTAGTGCAGGGCTGGCCTGTCAAGGCAGATGTTGCTGTCAACATCATATGCTCATTTTACAAACATTCACTACTTCACATGCACCATACACAGTATCCACCCTGCATTCAAACACTAAACACAGTATTCACCTGCATTCAAGCACTATACACACTATTCCTCCTGCATTCAAGCACTATACACACTATTCCTCCTGCATTCAAGCACTATACACAGTATTCCTCCTGCATTCAAGCACTATACACAGTATTCCTCCCAGCACTATACACAGTATTCATTCCCATGCATTCAAACACTATACACAGTATTCCTCCTGCATTCAAACACTATACACAGTATTCCTCCTGCATTCAAACACTATACACAGTATTCCTCCTGCATTCAAACACTATACACAGTATTCCTCCTGCATTCAAACACTATACACAGTATTCCTCCTGCATTCAAACACTATACACAGTATTCCTCCTGCATTCAAACACTATACACAGTATTCCTCCTGCATTCAAACACTATACACAGTATTCCTCCTGCATTCAAACACTATACACAGTATTCCTCCTGCATTCAAACACTATACACAGTATTCCTCCTGCATTCAAACACTATACACAGTATTCCTCCTGCATTCAAACACTATACACAGTATTCACCTGCATTCAAACACTATACACAGTATTCCTCCTGCATTCAAACTCTATACAGGGCGGTGGGGTAGCCTAGTGGTTAACAGCGTTGCATTCCTCCTGCATTCACACTACACAGAAACCCTGGTTCGATTCCCCACATGGGCACAATGTGTTAAGTCCATTTCTGGTGTCCCCCGCCGTGATATTGCTGGAATATTGCTAAAAGCGGCATAAAACTAAACTCACTCACTCACTCACTCAAACACTATACACAGTATTCCTCCTGCATTCAAACACTATACACAGTATTCCTCCTGCATTCAAGCACTATACACAGTATTCACCTGCATTCAAACACTATACACTGTATTCACCTGCATTCAAACACTATACACAGTATTCCTCCTGCATTCAAACACTATACACAGTATTCCTCCTGCATTCAAACACTATACACAGTATTCCTCCTGCATTCAAACACTATAAACAGTATTCACCTGCATTCAAACACTATACACAGTATTCCTCCTGCATTCAAACACTATACACAGTATTCACCTGCATTCAAACACTATACACAGTATTCACCTACCACTCAAGCACTATACATAGTATTCACCAACCACTCAAGCACTTTGTCCACAGTATTCACCTACCACTCAAGCACTATGTACACAGTATTCACCTTCCACTCAAGCACTATACACAGTATTCACCAATCACTCAAGCACTATACACAGTATTCACCTACCACTCAAGCACTATACACAGTTTTCACCTACCACTCAAGCACTATACACAGTATTCACCAACAAATCAAGCACTATGTACACAGTATTCACCTACCACTCAAGCACTATGTACACAGTATTCACCTACCACTCAAGCACTATACACAGTATTCACCAACCAATCAAGCACTATGTACACAGTATTCACCAACCAATCAAGCACTATGTACACAGTATTCACCAACCACTCAAGCACTATGTACACAGTATTAACCTACCACTCAAGCACTATACATAGTATTCACCAACCAATCAGGCACAATGTACACAGTATTCACCTACCACTCAAGCACTATGTACACAGTATTAACCTACCGCTCAAGCACTATGTACACAGTATTCACCTACCACTCAAGCACTATGTACACAGTATTAACCTACCGCTCAAGCACTATGTACACAGTATTCACCTACCACTCAAGCACTATACACAGTTTTCACCTACCACTCAAGCACTATACACAGTATTCACCAACAAATCAAGCACTATGTACACAGTATTCACCTACCACTCAAGCACTATGTACACAGTATTCACCTACCACTCAAGCACTATACACAGTATTCACCAACCAATCAAGCACTATGTACACAGTATTCACCAACCACTCAAGCACTATACACAGTATTCACCTACCACTCAAGCACTATACATAGTATTCACCAACCAATCAAGCACTATGTACACAGTATTCACCAACCAATCAAGCACTATGTACACAGTATTCACCTACCACTCAAGCACTATGTACACAGCATTCACCAACCAATCAAGCACTATGTACACAGTATTAACCTACCGCTCAAGCACTATACACAGTATTCACCTACCACTCAAGCACTATATATAGTATTCACCAACCAATCAAGCACTATGTACACAGTATTCACCTACCACTCAAGCACTATGTACACAGCATTCACCAACCAATCAAGCACTATGCACAGCATTCACCAACCAATCAAGCACTATACACAGTATTCACCTACCACTCAAGCACTATGTACACAGCATTCACCAACCAATCAAGCACTATGTACACAGCATTCACCAACCAATCAAGCACTATACACAGCATTCACCAACAAATCAAGCACTATACACAGCATTCACCAACCAATCAAGCACTATACACAGCATTCACCAACCACTCAAGCACTATGTACACAGTATTCACCTACCACTCAAGCACTATACACAGTATTCACCAACCAATCAAGCACTATACACAGTATTCACCAACCAATCAAGCACTATGTACACAGTATTAACCTACCGCTCAAGCACTATACACAGTATTCACCTACCACTCAAGCACTATGTACACAGTATTAACCTACCGCTCAAGCACTATACACAGTATTCACCTACCAATCAAGCACTATGTACACAGCATTCACCAACCAATCAAGCACTATGTACACAGCATTCACCAACCAATCAAGCACTATACACAGCATTCACCAACAAATCAAGCACTATACACAGCATTCACCAACCAATCAAGCACTATACACAGCATTCACCAACCACTCAAGCACTATGTACACAGTATTCACCTACCACTCAAGCACTATACACAGTATTCACCAACCAATCAAGCACTATACACAGTATTCACCAACCAATCAAGCACTATGTACACAGTATTAACCTACCGCTCAAGCACTATACACAGTATTCACCTACCACTCAAGCACTATGTACACAGTATTAACCTACCACTCAAGCACTATACACAGTATTCACCTACCACTCAAGCACTATACACAGTATTCACCAACCACTCAAGCACTATGTACACAGTATTCACCTACCACTCAAGCACTATGTACACAGTATTCACCTACCACTCAAGCACTATACATAGTATTCACCTACCACTCAAGCACTATGTACACAGTATTCACCTTGTGTTCTTGAGTAGCTGGGTTAACAAGCCCCACATGGGTCACCAGGGATCCAGACTGAAACAGGGGACACCATCATGTAGAGACAACACTCAGTGGATTGTCTATTTGTTTATCTAATGCTGCACTTAGCACTGTTACAGCAATATCAGTCCAGATTAGACAAACCAGTGATCAATATCATAACCAACATCCCAAACTGCTGGTTTATGATGACATGTGATTGACAAAGTCCAATTACTTGTCTCTCAAAACAAACTCTGGCTGACAAGGATAAGGGATCACTTTTGAAAATTAGTTCAAAATATATAAAAGGCTCAATACAAAACATAAGAGCAAGTCGTACTCAATTTTTAAACAGGATTTATGTCAGTGATTTATTGGAGACAAGCCCATCAGGTATCATACATTTACTGATTTATAACTTTAGTATGCCCATGACTATTAATAAACACCTAAAATCAGCAGATAATGGCACAACTAAGGGAGGTAATTTATCTGAAAAGGTTTTTCTTTGCTATAATGATCAATGATTTCTGTTCTGAACCAATGTTAAACATTGATGCATCACAATTTGCAGATGACAGTGCTTGTTGGAGATGTTTTGGAAACATTGAGTTTGTTCATAAATCTATCCAATTAGCTCTAAATTCTATAGATCTTTGGTGTTCAAAGTGGGGGTTCAAGGTATCAACTTCTAAATCAGTTGCTATGTTCTTCACAAAACAAGAGTTTCCCCAAATCTAAAGCTACACACTGGTGGTCAGAACATAAAATTTGTTTCTGAATTTAAATTTTTGGGTGTCATCTTGGATCAAAAACTCACTTGGTCAAACCACAGCAACTACATTTCATCAAAATGTACTCAAGCTCTCAATTTACTGAAAAGCGTGTCTGCCACAAAGTGGGATGCTGATAAATCATCCTTGTTTCTTTTGTACAAAGCACTAACTTTGTCTAGATTAGAATATGGCTGTCAAGTTTTCATGAATGCTGCAAAATGTCATTTGGCTAAACTTGATTGTGTTCAAGCCAAAGCTTTTCGGATATGCACTGGTGCCTTTCCTACTACTCCAGTTTCAGCCCTGCAGGTGGAATGCTCAGAACCTCCTTTGCAACATCATCGTCTTAAAGTTGCCCTTAAGTACTATTTATCCTTAAAAGCTTCATCTAGGTATCAACCAGCAACTGATATATTGTGCGATTGTGTGGAATATGTCATGTGTGATTGGAATCATGGAAAACCACCGTTTGGATTACTTGTACAACAATTTGCATTACAGTACAAGTTGAATAATCTTCAGTTGAATGCTGCTCGATCTCTCCCTAAAACGATTCCATGGACTTTAACACAACCTTCGATTTCACAGGATTTATCGGAGCTTGTAAACAAACAAATGTCACCAAGTGTTATTAAAATCCTAACCCAAGATTACATTCACACCAAATATAGCAATTTTACTCATATTTACACTGATGCTTCAAAGGATCCCAGAACCGGTCATGTTGGTGGAGCTTTTTATATTCCCAATATTGGTTTATCCAAAAGATTTAGATTGACTGATCATCTGTCTGTATTTGCAGCAGAACTGACAGCCATACTTCAAGCTTTAAAATAGGTAAAAGATAATGAACACGAAGCAATAATTTACTGATTCGTTGTCAGCTGTACAAGCAATTCAATCAGGTGTACAAGGTCCACACAGTGACATACTATATGACATCTTGTATCTTGATACTGTTTTAAACTCCATGTACATCAGCTGTGATATTGTTTGAATTCCTGCACATGTTGGTGTAGCTGGAAACGAAGTAGTTGACACACTTGCTAAGATGGCTTGCAACAGACCACAGCCAGATATTCAATCAATTAAGCCCATTCCAAGAGATTACTGGTTTTTCATTTCATCTTCGATAAATGCATCTTGGCAAAATAAATGGGATAATGAAAATACAGGTAGACACATGATGTACTCTACTTTTCCTGTAGTAAACAAACATTATAAAATTTGTCGGCGTTGTTGCAGAGATGAAGTTGTTTTAACTCGTCTCAGGCTGGGACGTTGTGGATTAAAGGCATATAGAAGTGTTTTAGATAAAGACCTATCTCCTCTGTGTGAAAGCTGTAACTTACACTGCCCAGAAACAGTTCAGCACTACCTCATTGAATGTCCAGCTCATGAAAACCCACGTAAGGATCTTAAAGAAACTGTGCTTAACAAAACCAAAAATAATTTTACAATGAACGCAATACTTTGCGATAATTAATGGTTACATACAAAGAGCTGTTTTAGACTTCCTTGTTAAAACGGGTAAGTATGACGTAATTTAACTGAAAAAAATCTATAACAGTTTGTCGCGTTATCTACCTACCTGTTTCTTTGCTACTTTACACATAATTCTGGGATAACATAGAATTAAGAAATACCTTCTTGTTGGGAGGGTCGAAGTCATTCCAGGAATATATGATAGATCCATCCTTTTCTTGAGTTAGAACTCGTGGAGATATGGACCCAGCATCTAATAGGAAGAGATAGGCGAGATAAAATCTAATTGAACACATTGACAACATATACATACTTAAGAGTCATTAGAAAGTAACCCACCCAAAGGTATTTGCCGACAGAGGCTGCTAATCAAGGGATGAACTATATATCACACATAACATATAAATCCGATACAATGATGCTGAAACCATAATCATAAAGACCTGGGCCCTTATTCTCGAAACGTTCGTTGCCTAAGACTTTTTAACTTTGATCGTAGCCAATGTGTTAAGAATGGGCTTAAGAAGTTAGTAGGGCTAAGAACGTTTCGAGAATAAGGGCCCCGGCCCCGATTTCTCGAAACAAACTTTAGTCTGAGTTTTGACTTAAGTTAGAGTTTTTACTAAAATTTGAGAAAAAGCATTTCTCAGAATGAGCTGAAAACGATATTTAATTCAAACATAGTAGATAATTTAAGTTTGGTGAATAGAATACTGAAGTTGTTTGGGCTTTTTGTATTTTAAAAATGCAGCTGATTTAAAATTCAGCTGTTTCAAATAGTCAAACTCAGTTTGAAATTTGAGTAAAAACTTAAGTTTTTTTCGAGAAATCGGGGCCAGGATTCAGACATCGAAAAACAAAATGGCCGCTCCTTCAGTGTAAATGTGTAAACTGGGTTTAAGACCACAGTATTTAAGATACATCACGGTGTGTGAGCATGCTGTAGGACGAAAGGCAGACGAGACTTTTCTTGTCTATAACTTTGGTGAAACCCATGACCACGGGTATGGTGAAACCCATGATCAGGAGTACAGTGAAACCCATGATCAGGAGAACAGTGAAACCCATGATCAGAGGTATAGTGAAATCCATGACCAGTGGTATGGTGAAACCCAAGACCAGGGGTATGGTGAAACCCATGATTAGGGGTATGGTGAAACCCATGACCAGGGGTATGATGAAACCCATGATTAGGGGTATGGTAAAATCCAAGATCATGGCTATGGTGAAACCCATGATCAGGAGTATGGTGAAACCTATTATCAGGGGTATGGTGAAACCTATGAATAGGGGCATGGTGATCCCATGATTAGGGGTATGGTGAAACCTATGATCAGGGGTATGGTGAAACAATTTATTAGGGGCATGGAGAAACCCATGATTAGGAATACGGTGAAACCTATGATCAGGGGTATGGTGTAACCTATGATCAGGGGTATGATGAAACCTAAGATTAGGGGTATGGTGAAACCCATGATAAGGGTCATGGTGAAACCCATGACTAGGGGTATGTGAAACCCATGATCAGGGGTATGGTAAAACCTATGATCAGGGGTATGGTGAAACCCATGATCAGGGGTATATAATGAAACCTATGATCAGGGGAATGGTGAAACCCATGATTAGGGGTATGGTGAAACCCATGATTAGGAGTATGGTGAAACCTATGATCAGGGGTATGGTGAAACCTATGATCAGGGGTATGATGAAATCCATGATTAGGGGTATGGTGAAACCCATGATCAGGGGTATCATGAAACCCATGATTAGGGGTATGGTGAAACCTATGATCAGGGGTATGGTGAAACCTATGATCAGGGGTATGATGAAATCCATGATTAGGGGTATGGTGAAACCCATGATCAGGGGTATCATGAAACCCATGATTAGGGGTATGGTGAAACCTATGATTAGGGGTATGGTGAAACCTATGATCAGGGGTATTGTAGGACTCTGGCTAGCGAACAGTTATGGCCTCATTTTAGCCGTATTTACAAAATTACTCAGCCGTTCGTTAAATTAATGAAACAGAATTAATCATGGTACTTAATTAGCTATTTGCTGATGCATCCAGCCCATTCCCTGCCACCGATCATGTTTTTATATAACGCGGCGGAAGGGAATCATGGCAGTATAAATACATGTTTTCTCACAACTAACTGTAACACTTATCGCCATTCATGAAATAAGATATATTCATATCATACAGTAACCTCGAATAATTGCTTGTGTGACTATTTGAGTGTTTCTTTTACAGTAGATTGATAGGGAATGAAACAATTAATGACTTGTGAACTTGAACTTGCTACTATATAGGTCATGGGACATCCCCCAACTAAGTTAATTATTTTTTTATAGGGTTCATAACTTTATCATTGAGTTGTCTCTTATGTTACTTACCGTGAAGGATTTTCTTTTGCTGTCCTTTATTGTTGTCAAATACCGTGGGGAAAATTGTAATTGGCCGGAACTGCGCACGTGTGATACTGATGTATTGGCGATAACTGTTACGCGGCGATAACTGTTCGCTAGCCAGTAAGGGATGATACGTTCACCTTAGTGCTAACAGAGAACATATAATCTAATATATGGTCTCTGGTGCTAAGATGTGCATGTGATCATGATTATCTGTGTTGCCAGTATATGTGAGACGAAGATGACATACAATGTAACTAACCCCATCATCAAATATTAACCATACCCTACCTTTCAAACATGTAAAGTCGGTGATAGTTTCGCATCATATTTAATTAATAGGACATAATGATTTCTTAGTACTTTAATTCAGGGGTCTTACATTCATTTTTTATAATAAAGCACGGATTGCGGCCGGAAGTTTAATGTCACATTAAAATATTATAGCGCACTTGTAAATACTCGCAGGGAGTCGTAATGAGATTCATCTTCTACCATTATATTAATTTTTTGCCAGGATATTCTAGGTTGTTGCTGTTGCTGTAGGTTGTCGATCCTCTCAGTCTGGTTTGGGGGGAGTTGTCAAAGTGGCAAATACTAGAAATATGAACAGTGGATAAGCAAAACAGTACCTGATACGCCATGCTCTTGTCGTCTTCGGGATATAAAAGCTGTAATTGAACCTGTCAAGTCAAAACATTTCTTGAATTCAATCATTCTGTTAACATTTTTGGTCACAGGGACTGCCGTCCAAAGTGTTTACATTTTGCTCGTCACATGTCACAGGTTCAACCGGAAGCAATGGCAGATGCGAGTTTTCTGCATACGTAGTTATTTCCCTTAGATCATGCTGCGTCGATCGTGTGAGCAAGCGTCGAAGAAGACGATGCATCCTGTAATACATGTTCAAATAAAACTTAATTTTCTAAAAAAATGAGTGTGTATTTATTAATAATTTTAATTTTAATTTAATGATCTTTGTTGACTTTTTGCAAAGATTATATTTCTATCGAGAATTCGATATTTTAAAACACGAAACACCGATTCGAATAATTTAATAGAGTTATTTATCCGTTTGTGATATCAAAAAATACATTTTGCCGCACATATATCGTAATTTTTATCAAGTATTCATCATTGATATCCAACAGTAAATTACAAATTTCATGTTCGTTTCATGTTCCATCCCTAGGGACCGTTCAAAATTTATGGCTGGGGGGTGGAGTGTGATTTTAAGTGGGGTCACCCATTTTGTTCCGGGAAGGTAAGGATGTGTGGGGTGGGGGTGTCATCAATTTTGTACCCACGATCTAGGGTGGGTCAGCTATTTTGTACATAACAATAATAAAAAAACATGCTTAAAGGTTATGGGTGTGGGTGTGGGGGGGTGTCATTAATTTTGTACATGACATGCAGGAGGGGTGTCACTTACTTTGTACATAAATCTTAGGGGGTTCATTCACATTGTACATGCCTCTCCATAAAAATCATCACACACACACACACACACACACACACACACACACACACACACACACACACACACACACACCGCCCAAATTATGAACGGTCCCCCTATTGTGACACAATTATTGCTGAAACAGTGTCACCCGCGTGAAAGAGGCGACTAAAGGGATCGAGTGGTCAGGCTCGCTGAATTGGTTGACACGTCCAAATTGCGTAGATCGATGCTCATGCTGTTGACCACTGGATTTTCTGGTCCAGGGTCCCGATCCACAAAGCGTTCGTAACGTTACGACCCATCGTAACTCTATACTTTATCATAGATTTACGAATGGCACAGTGCTACGAACGTTGTCTGGATCGGGCGCCAGCCTCAATTATTTACAGAGCGGACTGATATAGCTGGAATATTATTTACAGTAATAGGTAGATTCTGGACCAGATAAACCAGTGATAGATATCAGGAGCAGCTGCGAGTTGGTCGGAGTAAAATGACATGCAATCAACCAGGTCACTGTGCCTGATCACATGATCAATAACTCGCAGCTTCTCACTGGCAGAGGTTGCGGTGGACCTTTTAAAAAAACACAATACACGTGAAGTCTCAGAAATGCAGGACGACCGCACTACACGAGGATCTCAAACCAGAAACGTTTAAATATTATTACCCTGACCTACGTTGTCAAGTTCGTCATGTCAAATATACTACCCATCAAAAGTTTAGACTCACTTAAAGCACTCACTGTATATTATGTATATATATGCGGTTACATCGAAGATTGATTTCTCCACTAACTTTGGGGAACCAACTACAAACATTATGCAGATGAATTGCACGAGGATCATGCATCAAATTGCTGAAAAGCATGTGCAAATATCGTGCATGTGAACAGCAGCGTTTTGGTGTAAAGTTTTTTTAAGAATTCGCCAATTTTCACTGAGTTTCATCATTTATTGAACTCATGACAATAATCTTTTCAACGTTACGAATTTGTTTTACAACACATCAGTTCATGTGTAAACAGTACCTTTAAACAGTATGGAATATTTTGCAAAATCTAGTTCAGAACAGTTGACTGAAGTAAGTGGCAACATTTACTCTAGTGAGTCTAAACTTTTGATGGGTAGTATATGAGTGAGTGAGTGAGTGCAGTTTTACGCCGCTCATAGCAATGTTCAAGCAAGGCGGTTATCACAAGGACGAAAGTAGTTACGACTACGCTAGATTTTAAAGACGATTTATCTTTTCAAATTAATTTTAGGTTTTATTATAGTTCTATGAATTTAGATATATACAACTTGATCAAAATGTGCTACTCTTCTAGATATGTCTTTAAGATGTGTTAGAGATTCACATGACCTTTGAAACCTACTAGCATATATCACGGGAGCCTGAATATATCTGAGTCTTGGCCAAGAAAACCAGTGGTTGATTGAATGATCAACACCTGGCACCAGGGCACGATGACACACCATCTTCCATGCCACGGATGCCTATTTATGTTGATTCATGACAAACAAGGCCTACTGTAGCTATCCTTATCCTGATGTCACCCCACGCGCCAACTCGTACGAACAAGTCAGTACATGGACAGAGTCTCCCTTTAAATGAGCGACGAGTCGTCATATTAGAACTGCAGCATCCATTGTGGAAGGCCAGGACACTGTTTTGAGATTCCTGTCGTCCCAGGCAACCAGAATACTGCAGCTGCCAGTTGCAGATATGGCTTGGGAAAAAAAACTGAAAACAAAACGATATCGAACTTTGCCTTATCAATTTTAAATTATCCCGATCAAAAGTTAAAGTCTCAACATGAATTTTAAAAAAAAAGTTTAAAAAATATATTTTTTCCAAAACCAATAAAGCAGAAATGGTAGGAGAGGTGTAGTCAAGAATTGTATATACACTTAAGGTATTTTGAAGGTTGGAATTGCATCTTTATCGTTTGATACGCTACGTGGGAGTGGTGGCATATTGATAATATTTATATATCTATGACGACCAGTGTAGCTGGACCAGAACTGCTTCAATAATTCACCACTGTATATAGGCCCTGTTTAGGTTCACATCAATGTATACTGGAATATCGTTATTACATGCCATTAACGTACCTGAAGCCTGGATCAATATAGAATGCAGATGCAAGTGCACCATGTTGTCATTGTAGCTTGCTTCACAAAGGAAATAACTTCTTGTTGTCATTTATTATTCATGAAAACACAGCGCAGAGGGATCTTGTGGCGGTGGCGGACAAGACAGGACATCCTGTGATGGTGGCTGTATTCCCTGTGGATGTACTGTAATACATTATACGGCGTAGGACAGTTTAGTTGTAGGCCCGTTGTTGAAGATGTTTGGTGATTCAGGTGTTTTTGAGCTCTCTTGGTGGCCAGTGGCGCTTTGTTTGGTGATTCAGGTGTATCTGAGCTCTCTTGGTGGCCAGTGGCGCTTTGTTTGGTTATTCAGGTGTTTCTCAGCTCTCTTGGTCGCCAGTGGCGCTTTGTTTGGTGATTCAGGTGTATCTGAGCTCTCTTGGTCGCCAGTGGCGCTTTGTTTGGTGATTCAGGTGTTTCTGAGCTCTCTTGGTGGCCAGTGGTGCTTTGTTTGGTGATTCAGGTGTATCTGAGCTCTCTTGGTGGCCAGTGGCGCTTTGTTTGGTTATTCAGGTGTTTCTCAGCTCTTTTGGTGGCCAGTGGTGCTTTGTTTGGTGATTCAGGTGTTTCTCAGCTCTCTTGGTGGCCAGTGGCGCTTTGTTTGGTGATTCAGGTGTATCTGAGCTCTTCTCTTGGTGGCCAGTGGTGCTTTGTTTGGTGATTCAGGTGTTTCTCAGCTCTCTTGGTGGCCAGTGGTGCTTTGTTTGGTGATTCAGGTGTTTCTGAGCTCTCTTGGTCGCCAGTGGCGCTTTGTTTGGTGATTCAGGTGTTCCTCAGCTCTCTTGGTGGCCAGTGGTGCTTTGTTTGGTTATTCAGGTGTTTCTCAGCTCTCTTGGTGGCCAGTGGCGCTTTGCTTGGTGATTCAGGTGTATCTGAGCTCTCATGGTCGCCAGTGGTGCTTTGTTTGGTGATTCAGGTGTTTCTCAGCTCTCTTGGTCGCCAGTGGCGCTTGTTTGGTGATTCAGGTGTTTCTCAGCTCTCTTGGTCGCCAGTGGCGCTTTGTTTGGTGATTCAGGTGTTTCTGAGCTCTCTTGGTGGCCAGTGGCGCTTTGTTTTGTGATTCAGGTGTATCTGAGCTCTCTTGGTCGCCAGTGGCGCTTTGTTTGGTGATTCAGGTGTTTCTGAGCTCTCTTGGTGGCCAGTGGCGCTTTGTTTTGTGATTCAGGTGTATCTGAGCTCTCATGGTCGCCAGTGGTGCTTTGTTTGGTGATTCAGGTGTTTCTCAGCTCTCTTGGTCGCCAGTGGCGCTTGTTTGGTGATTCAGGTGTTTCTCAGCTCTCTTGGTCGCCAGTGGCGCTTTGTTTGGTGATTCAGGTGTTTCTGAGCTCTCTTGGTCGCCAGTGGCGCTTTGTTTTGTGATTCAGGTGTATCTGAGCTCTCTTGGTCGCCAGTGGCGCTTTGTTTTGTGATTCAGGTGTATCTGAGCTCTCTTGGTCGCCAGTGGCGCTTTGTTTTGTGATTCAGGTGTTTTGAGCTCTCTTGGTCGCCAGTGGCGCTTTGTTTGGTGATTCAGGTGTTTCTCAGATCTCTTGGTCGCCAGTGGCGCTTTGTTTTGTGATTCAGGTGTTTCTCAGCTCTCTTGGTCGCCAGTGGCGCTTTGTTTGGTGATTCGGGTGTTGCTCTCTTGGTCGCCAGTGGCGCTTTGTTTTGTGATTCAGGTGTTTCTGAGCGCTCTTGGTGGCCAGTGGCGCTTTGTTTGGTGATTCAGGTGTTTCTGAGCTCTCTTGGTCGCCAGTGGCGCTTTGTTCGGTGATTCAGGTGTTTTTGAGCTCTCTTGGTCGCCCATCGTTTGTAGTTTTTTGTGTTTATAATTCAGATGTATCCGAGCTCCCTTGGTCACCTGTAGCTTGTAGCGTTTTGTTTTGTGATATAGATGTATCTGAGCTCTGTTGGACGCCTGTAGCGTTTTGTTTAATGATTCAGCCGAGATTTGAACTCGCTTGGTCGCCAGTAGCGTGTAGCGTTTTGTGTTTATGATTCACCTGCATCAAAACTCGTTTGGTCGCCCATCGCTTGTACGGTTTTGTGATGTTGTATTCAGATGTATCTGTACTGCCTTGTTCGCCAGTGGCTTTCTGCGTTTTGTTTTCTGATTCAGATGTATCTGAACTCCCTTGTTCGTCAGTGGCTTGTAGCCTTTCGTTTTGTGATTCATGGGTAGCTGAGCTCCCTTGGTTGCCTGTAGCTTGTAGCGTTTTGTTTTGAGGTTCAGCTTTATCTGTTCTCGCTTGGTCGCCGTTAGCTTAATTGTAGCGTTTTGTGTTTGTGATTCAGGTGCATCATAATTCACTAGCTTGTGGCATTGACAAGAGTTTCAACAAGACAGTCAAACTAGCTTTGCTAGAGAGGTTACTAGTCTAATTTAAATGTCACTGGCATTTGCAATAGGTTAGCGGTCAAGCACCTATTTCCGACAATGTGAGTGAGCCCACCGTACCCTGTGCTTTTAGAGTAAGGCACCTAATCGCCAGGGCCTAGATTTTCGAAGCTCTCTTAGCGCTAAGATAGTCGTATGTTAATGTTAACGTATGGGACTTACGACTATCTTAGCGCTAAGAGAACTTCGAAAATCTAGGCCCTGGCGATTAGGTGCCTTACTCTAAAAGTGTGGGTTCGAATCCCGGATGGGACAACCCGAAAAAGTACTAGAATTTGTACATTACTGGGAACGTTTCATCCAAAATATAAAGCATGTTCCATCTGAACCACTTCCAAAAGGTATTGTGTATTCACCGTACCCTATACTTGTCCTAATATCCTTATGGGAAATGGTGGTTAGAATGTGATTTAGCCGGCTGATTGTATATCACTGACCTCCAACAGCAAAGACGCTCCTCATGCTGTCAACCACTGGGGAGCCAGGCCCAAACTCGATTATTTATATAGCTACATCATTTCTGTGCTGACGGGTGTGTCGAACACTCGGATATGTCGAACTTTTTCCTTGGTCCCGACGAGTGTTTGGCGGCGGGCCGTAAATAATCAAGTCGGGACTTAACAATAGTGATCAACAGCATGAGCATCGATCTCCGCAATTGGGATACTTTGACATGTGTCAACCAAGTTAGCGAGCCTGACCACCCGATCCCGTTAGTCGCCTCATTGGGCAAGCATTGGGTGCTGAAGATCTATTCTAACCCGGATCATCACGGGGAAAGATGCATGGGCTGCTGAAGACCAATTTGAACCGTATCTTCACGGGAGACAAACATGGGTGGCTGAAGATCAATTCTAACCCGGATCTTCACGGGTCGTGTTGGAAGAGAATACAGAAACACGCCATCATTCGTGAAAGCAATTAACATTCAGAAAACCATTTGTTGTTCCATCTTAACCAAGTAGTTAGACACGCCTGATTTCTCCCTATCAACTCCTTCCAGTCAGGTACAATTCACCGGTTCCACAAAAGACTCTCTCCATCTATCTCTAATGACGTCACTGTCGTCTGCTAGTCAATCAATCAGCACGAGCTGATAAAAGCGGTTAATCAATAATTGATTGCTTTCGCTTGAGCGCCAGTCTCAGGAGGCGACGCTGAGTGTGCCCGCGGATTTCGGTGCCGCAATACACCGGTCAACAGTCTGTCAAGGAGTAATTTCATTGATACAGGATAACTTGTTCACACCGCCTCAACAAATTGAACTAACAGAGGGTAAATGGGAGAACTCTAGCTGTCGAGGGTAAGTGACAGTGTGTATTTTGCTATTAGACGTGAAAGTTGAAAAATATGTATGCTTATATATAATATCCATATATCGAAATTAGAGTTCCGAACATTTGTTTGAAAGAAAATGTTTAAAAAACAACAACACCTGGCTATGAATTATAAAAAAATAATATCAGTTTTGTATATACATATATAAATATTTGTTATATGTTGGTATATCTGAGTACCTTGCAAGGATTTAGTGTTAGAATAGGTTGCCAGCGAGCCGTGCTTGTTAGTCCAGCGGCCAGCAATTGTTCGGGATGTCCGATTCTATGATATCGTGTCCCAAAAGCGTGGATCTTTACTCGTTTGGACTGTATGGTATAACCGGTATACCGGTATATCGCGATACGCTTTTCAAACGATACTTATTGCAATATTTTTTCTGAGAACAGGTACATTGGGTAAAGAACATGTATGGATTTTTTAAATTATCTTTATGGTTTAAATTAAAATCTACACATACTATCATTCACAAAAAAAGTTTTCTTTCGTTATGCAATGACAAAACGGCATACTGTATTGCTAGACATTCATAATTGTATAAGAAAGAAAATAGCTAATTTTGAGATTGCGGTTATCAGAACCATGCCATACATGTGTAGGGACTAATAATATAGAAAATAGGATTGACATGCACAATTGGTGTCACTCTCTGTCAGCTTAAGTTCCCATTATATCGCGATACGTATCGCAATACGAGTACCTGAATCGCAATACATTGCAATAAAATTTATTGCCAATGCACAGCCTTATTACTCATAATATCAATCACGGGTGTGTCTGGTCCAGAATCGAAAAGTATTTACCATCGGCCTTCTCAAAGCTGGAACACTGAGTACAGCGTTAGACAGCCATGAAACAAACTTACAGATAAACGAACCGAAAATTGTGTTTGCGCAAATATGCGTTATATATGCGTACGTGCAGTAGATATAACACCAGTACAAACATATACAAAGTATTGATGGCTTTGGCTTTGTAAATTAATTCCACTATATACTAAGAAACTTCCACTTTCATACTAAGAAATCTTAGCGCTTGACTGAAAGAAAACTAAAACAAGAATTGGGGCTATGATGTCATTAATTGTGACACAACGATGTGCAAAGGTGTTCATGCTATCAACCACCGTTTTACTCGGTCGAGAAATCATGTAATATGTGCAGACTGTCGGTTTGTTGACAGTGGCGTAAACCAACTTTCATTTGCTTAGCGGTGGGGTAGCCTAATGGTTAAAGCGTCCGCTCGTCACGCTGAAGACCCGGGTTCCATTCCCCACATGGGTACAATGTGTGAAGCCCATTTCTGATATCCCCCGCCTTGATATTGCTGGAATATTGCTAAAAGGGGCGTAAAATCATACTCACTCACTCATTGGCTCAAATGATGAAAATAATTCCCTTCATGCAATGACGTCATTTAAACGGACACCGAACACCAGTGACATGTACTCATTTTATAAAATGTCAGTATATACCAAGCAGGTCTGAACACTCCGGCAGCCATGAGCAAATACTATCTGACAAGCACGGCATATCAGTACCTCTGTATCAAGTTTATATTTCATTATCGTTGTCATCAGACTGGTTGTCTGGAACCGTGTTTGGTTACATGTAGCAAATATATTTTAGTCCCGTGATGTTTGAAATAATTTCCTCACTTTTTGATGCTACACTGGAACTAAATATTTGAACGCATGACCCGCTTTGAAAGTGATATTGCACGATTTTACATTAAACGAGATGTGATATCATTAATTATATCAGCCAACATGAAATAAATTTGATATTATTCTTCATTAGTCATTCTTCAATTAGTTCATTAATTATTAAACTCAAAGTTAACAGTAAAGTTGCAGGAATAGATATTTTATCGGCGAGTTAAATCAGCTTGGCTAATTATGTGTAAAGGATTAATATTGACAGCAGCCGTTAAAAAGCTAAATCGATGATGAATAAATCATTCATAAAACAGTCATATCCCATTTATCAAGGAACACAATTATATTCATAAACGATATCTCGTTACCCCTAGTAACCTTGCCATTGTCAATGTCTGATCCGGTATCCTGTTGTTGGACTTCAAAGTAGAGTTCCAGTGCGTCAATATTGACACAGGTAACGCACGGAGTGATGTAGTAGACAGACTCTGCAACCAACAGACTCAATTCAAGCTAGAAGGCTGGTTGGTTGTTTAACGCCGCACTCAGCAATATTCCAGCTATAAGGCGGTGGTGTGTAAATATTCAAGTCTGGACAAGATAATCCAGTGATCAACAGCATGAGCATCGATCTAGGGACACGATGACACGTGTCAACCAAGTCAGCGAGCCTGACCACCCGATCCCGTTAGTCGCCTCTTACGACAAGCATGGGTTACTGAAGATCAATTCTAACCCGGATCTCAGGCTACAAGGAAGAACATAGTTCGGGGAACAGTTTAGTGTGTGAGTGATGAGAATTGTATCTCGCTTTAACACTTGAACCATAGTAGGTGAGTATATTTTTACGAAGTGTTTAGCAATATTCCAGCAATATCACGGCTGGGGACACCAGAAATGGACCTCATCATTCTACCCATGAGGGGAACGAAACGGGATCTTCGGCGTGAAGAGCGAATGCATAATCACTAGGCCACCCCACCCTCAGCCATATCAAGGCAGGGGTGCACATATCACCGCACATTGAGTGAGTGAGTGAGTGAGTGAGATAGTGAATATACAGTGATATATAAGTCACATTCTTTCCTAATATGTTGCCAAAACACCACAGATTTCGTGCCCAATTGCGAGGTTGCCAACTAAAATCACAACACTTTTCAAATAATCCCAAAACATCAGGTGTGTACTTTCTTTTGTACATCAGTTTAGGTTCGTAGCGCTGCGACATTCGTAAGCCTATGACAAACTATAAAGTTACGACAGGTCGGAACCCAGGGAGACAGGAAATGGCTTCACACAAGGGAATCGAAGAACTATAGCAAAATAACATTTTATCAACATTAATAATTATAACATTGAATCAAAATATCAAACTAACAAACAAAATCATTATTACTATATTATAACACGTTCTGTAACCCGTGTAAACCAAATCGACCAACTTGCTGTTACGAATGATAAACAAACAATTTAATTGTTTCAACAGCAACCTTCATAGTGGCAATCGGAACTACATGGACAAACCAGTCCGACGGTCGCATGTCAGGTTGCACGTACGTGCAATCCGTGCTTTTCGTGACAACAAATTCAGAAGGCAATGTGAATATTAATTCATCCCAATAAACACACCTAAATAGAACTCCGGAAAAATATCATACAATCTACCTGTAACAATTGGTTATACTAGTAAGGCATGAATCAAATCCTTCCCGCTATTTATACCGTATACCGAACTGAGGATCATTAGAGAAATGTAATGCGATGTAATGGGGGAACGTTCCAGATTTTATACTCTCTGTGAGATTTTATACTCTCTGGAAGCCGGGTTATTGTTTGACGCATGAGTTCTGTAAGTTCAGTTATAAATAAGCACATTTTCAAGTAAGTTTCCAAAGGTCCGTTAATACCTAAAATGATAGCTGATGAAAAGGCAGTACACAGATTTGTAAAAACCACTAACCAGTGTGTATTCATATGAATTATTGCAAAAGTAAACAACGCAATGCATCGTTTCAACGTGAAGTATATTTTATGTTTTGAATCTCCATAAATAAATCTCTCTATATTTAAGAAATTCTGACAAATTTCGTTCCTCGTGGTATTATGTCATTGATACTGCATCCCATTTACGTTAAAAATTAAAACTGTACAAATATAATGTGAATATATCGGGTGTCGCAAAAAAAGTGAACCGGTTTTTGACAAGTATTTTCTCAGCGACAGATGAACCGAATTTATTAAAAAAAATTCACAGAGTAACCCTTCTAAGAGATTGGTCGCAAACTATACGAGTATTGTCAAATTCAAAACAGCATGTCAAAAAATGTAATGCCATATAGCACTCTCTAAAGGAGAAAGTTTACCGAGGAGTGAGAGACAAATTGACCGAGCAGGCGTTAAAGGACAGGATAATTATAGTATGACCAGAAATTATTGAGAATTTTAGGAATATGTTTAATTGGATTTCTAGTATAGACAACCTTGACCAGCTATCAAGTGCTTGGTTTCATTCGAGAGAGACAACTCCGTTAATCCTTTTTCATTAGTTTGTGAAGAGTTATCCCCCTTTGTTTACTTGCTAGCAGACGACATTTTCAGTGATCCTCAGTATGGATGATTAAGAGAAGAGGAAGTTGATTTTAGAGTATTATAACAAGGACATCAGATCAGCTAAAGTGATTTCAAGTAGAACAGGCATCCCTTTGTCCACTGTTTATCGTGTTTTGAAAAATATTGCAAATGGATATGGCATTGAGCACCAGGGAGGCACAGAAAATTGACTGTCGGTGACAGGAGGCGGCTTGGTATTCTTGTTTCTAAAAACAAACGAAGGACTTGAGAAAACTTAAGGCTGGATATGATTGATAGAGGAACTGTGGCTGTCTGTAAGGAGACAATTAGAACTGAGCTGCATGCAATAGGTTGGCAGAAAAGTCGATGAATTCCATCACCGATCATGAAACCTGAGCAAAAGGAGCGAAGGTTGAACTGGTGCTTACAGCATAGAAATTTTAACTGGGACAATGTGATTTTCTCAGATGAAAGTTCTGTGTGGCTGTTTCCTAATACACTGAAATTCTGGACCAAACAAACTGAAAAACCTTTGTATCAGCGCCCAAAGTACAGTCCGAAATTTAACGTGTGGGGTGGCATATCTGTGTTAGGGGCAACGCCCCTCTGTGTATTTGAAGGGAATATGAACAGTGAGCGGTACACAGATATTCTCGAGGGACATTTACTTCCATCTGCTCACATGTTCTATGGAAATTTTTGGATTTTCCAGCAGGACAACGACCCAAAACATCGTT